AATCTGCTTATGTATCAGTCTTTGCTTTTCAACAATCGATTAGATCGAAAATATAGTTACAACTTAATATGCTCCAATGAATACAATAAGAGAAATGCAGAGTCAATTCATCGGCGAGTTTTGTATTATTTGTTAATAGACTGACGCATTTATCAGGACTCTACATGAGTGTGGGTGTGTATGTGTGCTTTCTCTTGTCACACCCACACCCTTGGTCACGTTAAACTTGCCAGGATTTTACTACTCTTTGAGCTCTGCTGCATGAGGCCACAATGTCTCATCACAGCTTTTGAATCAAATGAAACTCTCAGTTATCAAGGCAAGAATTTCAGTAGAACATCGATTTTATTCAATAGTAACTCCACTATCCAATGCATGACGAAAGAAAAATATACTTTCACTTTATCAAGTGTAGCATCAGTTCGTATGAAACCTATTGAGGCGAATGTAACTATGATTTGAACTTTTTGTATCGACAAATTTTTGTGAAGGATGACTCATTAGAAGATCCTAATGACGCTACTCGAACCAAAAGCTTCTGAAATTTACTTGCGTCTATTGGCGGGTTCAACCAAATAGATTTCCAGTCTCCATCACATCGAAATACACCAGACCATTGGAAATACTTAATGTGAAACTCATCTGTCGTAAAGGTAATACTTTGGAGATATGGTAAATATTTGCATAAAACAAGAAGCTGAACGGCTCTCGGTAAGGCGATCACCAGATGTTCAATGCGAGGAAAGAGGCAACCAACAGTTTGAATTAGATCTTCATGAAATCTTCTTATTCTATCGAATAAAACGAGCGATCTAACTTGATTATTTGTCTCGAGCTGCGATGGTTTAAATGCGTTCAATTGATTAATATCCAATATAAGTGACTTTAGATTCTTCATATAAATCAGCGGTAAAGATATCATTACTTGATCTACTTCACATTGAGAAATATCAAGTTCTTCGATTTTGGAACAGTTCACATGTTCGAGTATCCACGAAACAAGATTTTTTTCCAGACGAGTAATTACAAGATATCGAACATTGTTAAACAAATGTTGATATGATAGAAGAGGAGAATCTCCACAAAAGTATAGACTGGTAAAAGTGCTTGTTGCAAATGCCGATGTTGCTGCGAATTGTGTACTCTGGCTGGAACCTCGTCTCCAGTTAGATGCATAAGTCTGATGGTATCGTCCACAACTATGATCGAATCTACGAAAGTCATTCAATAGAACGTCATCGTCTACGATTATAAAATAGAAGCTATTTTTCGCGGTCCAAAATGATGTTTGAAAGGAGAGAAGTACTTCAGAAATGATACGATTCTTCAATCGGGATGGACTTGATTTTAGACAGAATCTGTTCAAATGTGGTAGTGTTGCCTGAATGAGTTGTTCCCAAGAACTGGCTCTAATCAATGCGCCATGGGCAGTTATTTCTAATCGACAAAGATTATTTGCTTTTTGCAAGAATTGTGCAACCATTTCAAATGTTACCGAATGATTATCTTCAAAGTGCAATATCAGCGTTCGAAGTTGTAATAAGAAAGGCAGATTGTCTAAACTTGCTGTATGGTACGGATCGAAATTTGAATCAGTTAATCGAACATTAAAATATCGAAGATGAGGAGTATACTGAATCATTGATTGAAGATGGCTCCAGTTATATTGCACACCTGTAATAATCAAATGCTTAATCTTAGATGAAAATGGTGGTAGTGTCGGCAGAAGTATTTGGTTGTGGTAAGATTCACGCCCTTGAACAGCAACGGAGAGGTGCTTCAGTCTTGGTAAAGACAACAGACTATGAATAAATGCTCGTGATATATAACTATTATTTCCTTTTTCGTTGATTGACAAAGTACATAGATTCATCAAATGCATCAGTGATTGACATGCCACACGTAGTAACTCTGAAGATTTGACATCAGTGTCAAAATGAAAATATAATATGCGAAGATTTTTGAATACTTCGAATGACGAAAAGGACGATAAAAACCTATTGATTTGACCAGGCGTCTTCCATTCTGATAAGTTTAGTTCAGTGATGCAATCAACCATTGATGGAAATAAGCTTAGACAGAACTGAAAATGATCTTTTCTACAGCAAATAAAATTAAAACGAAACTTACGACATTGCGCGATCAAATCATCAATGCGACTATTAAGTTGTCCGACAAATGCTGTAAATATATCGATACCATTAATATAGTTTTCTAAAATATCAATCAAAATTTCGTTCGGCAACGATTCAAGTGTAAACCATGATTTGTCTCTTTCAAATTCAACCATACTTTAAACTTGTTGTTACCTTTGAAATATTTTTCAACTAAGCTTCGTTGCTGTTTATTGCTCCATGAATGAATAACTGCAACAAACGCTCGCGATTTCGTAAGACAACAATGAGTCATTCACTATGTACTTACCCAGCAACATATTATTCGTGAATCATCTCTAATTTCAAGGATCTTGAGCAATATCATTGTTGTGAGCGAAACATACTCTTAATCGTTCCTTAAACTAAAATATTTTATTATGACCAGTGTATTTCAGAATATTTCAAATGAAATTTTTACTGAAATTTTGTCGTACGTCAGTTGCACATATGCTTTTATAATTGTGCAAGTCAATACGAAATGTTTTAAATGTAAATATACGTGACATTATTAAATAGAATAATTGTAAATTGAGCAAGAAAAAAAGAAAAACTTGCTTAAATATAATTTAAATTTTTAAAATTTTTATTATTTGAGTAAAGTAAGAAGGAAACAAAGATAGTAAGAAGGAAAAGATAATGAAGGTATAGATAGAAGGATAAGGAAAAGATAATGAAGGTATAGATAGAAGGATAAGGAAAATAAATATTTTATTTTAGATTCAATATTATTAAATAAACGCAAGGCCTTTCGAATTGTATCTTTTTCAAGCGAAAAATTGTCAGTTATTGTTTAAGATAGGTCGTTCATTGGTAATAACATGAAAGATAAGTAGATGTTTAGTTAGATATTTCATGGTAATTTATATTTATGTTCATATTCATGTTCATGGTTTAGTAGGTAGGTAGAGTGCAGAGTGGTCGATTTATGAATATAAATTTAAAGTTTTATGACAATGAAATATAGAAAAATAATTTTTTGAAAAAAATCATGTGGAACTGTTATTATGATAATGTGAAATTTGAGAATGGAAAAAATTAAGAGTGAACATATTGAGAATGAGAAAATTAGGTTTTTTGATTATGCGAAAATATGGTAATAAAAACATTAATTCATTATATGAAGCTGAAAGAATGTTTTTTAACCAATACAGCTATTTACTTGATATGTTATTATATCGAGGGTGTGAGTGTTGGCGTTGGTTTGATCCTTCTTGCAGCCAGCTCACGCCGACGAACGAAGGTACCCGCACCCGCACTCACATCCACATCCTCTATTTCTTTTCCTAGAACGGTTCTATTGTTCCAAATTATTTTTTTCAACTGTAAAATGTTTTATGAATATCAGTTCTATAATCCTAGGCATTTATTGCCCAATTATTGCTTAAAAAAATAATCCTTTATTTCTTTATTTGATCTTTATTTTTTAAAGATAAATGAATCATTTATGTTTATCTTTAGAAAATAAAGTAACACTAAAGTGCCACCTCTTATAAGTGTCAAACGATTACATATGAATTAAACCTATACAGTTCCAGCAAGCCTCTCAACAAAAACAGAATACCTCTATGGAACACCTACGCAAACAAAGTGGGCGCTAAACCTTCTACACCATTTATTATAATCCATTGTTTAATAACTTAAGATAACTAACCAATATCCAAAAAAAACGCAAAATATAACCCCATCAAAAGCAATTATCTGACAAAGATTTCTTCAAACTTTTCAGAAGTAGTATCATAAGATGTTGAATTCGATTCGTATTTTTAATTAAACTTGAATCATTTTCTTCAAATTTTAGACCCTAAGCCACCTGATGAGACTCATAGCTGAGTTGAAACGCGTTGCGGTAGTTGTTTATCAAACACATTCACCAGTGTTTCCAGTATACAAGTATTTATATACATTTTTCTTAAACTCAACTTTAAATATTAATATCATCCGCACAGAAACAAACATTTCCACGAAAAGTACAACAAAATTCTAAATCAGTATCATGATTTAAAAAAACTGTAATGACACTTTGCATCATCACGACGCTTAAAATGGTCTGCAACCCCATCCTTGTAGAAACGTTCCCAATTACGGTCTTTCATATTATTGTAATCCTCGACCCATTTCCAACCTTTCTTATCACTCGTATAATACCAGTCACGGTATTTCTCGCATTTGGCACAAGGACGCCCACTACACTGGCAATGCTTATCGGTTGGAGCACACTCTTGCTCTCCTAAAAATGAAAGCTCCATTTGTTAGAATAATTTCAAAGTTTGATGACTTGCTTGTTTGTGAAAAAATACTGATAATTATGATGATTATTGCAAAAGAAACAAATACTCTTCAGATTAGGGTGTGGGTGTCGCTCTGTTGTTACACCCACACCCACACGCTAATAATTTATTTGAGTGTGGGTGGGTATTGTTGTCGCTCTCTTGTTACAACCAAACCCGCACCCTAAATCAATGCTTTCCTGTTAGTTTCCTAATCGGCATTCTAGCACGTAAAATATCTCATGTTTCTGTTTGAAAAATAGTTTTATTTAACACATAAGGGTTATCACATTTAGTCACTAAAAAGTGTTGTCACGGGCAAGAAGAATCAATTGAGTTTTCAAGTTACTTATTTTTATCGATTCTAGTTCTCATACACAAAATGCACTAAAAACACATGAAATCATTAGTTTTAACCCAGGTAATGAATTTGAACGAGTTACATCATCATGACATGAATCGATTATGATGCGGCTTTTTTAGCTGTTTTTTTTATAAATTTACATGTATTAAAACTATATTCTAATATTTCCTTTTGTAGGACTATTCATTTGATATACAAAGGAGTATGGTCGTTGTTCAATCTCATTTCCACAAAAATGTGATGGAATTGGCAGGAATTCGTTATTACACATTGGCGTTATTCAGGTAAAATAAAAAATTGATAAGTTTTTTATTCAATTAATACTGAATAATTTTTCTTTTAATCCTTAAATATTTCAGTTTTGTTTCATTATCTATGCCTTGCTCTTTATTTAGTGTATTGATAGTTCAAGTCGAATCTCAAGGATGTGATAGCATGACTGAATATGCAACATGCTCGAGACATTCTTCTTGTGCCTGTTTCCGTGTGGTTGCTTCTTCTAACTCTAGCATTTGCGTCGACCAATTCTTACTCTCATGCTCTGAACTAGTTCGATGCGAAGTCTCAAGCCATGCTTGTAGTGAAGTCGAGCATTTGTGTGTTAATCATCCTCGATGCCATGGTTTTCCTACTTGCTTTCCGGTACCGAGCTTTAATGAACAACTCTGTCCGCCGATAAGTAAGAGTACAAAATATGATATACAGAGTCAGTTGCATACAACGTTTTCTTGGACTATTTTTGTCGCTAATCATATACCCTGGCATTTGTAATTATTCTCGTCGTATAAATCATTTGAAAAAGGAGATGAACAATGATTGATGTACACACCACTCGTAATAGTTAAGGAATAGATCGTGAGTCTCCATATGAACTTTATTTATCAATTTCAAGCAGGAAATCTATTGCCCTTACATGTAGTAATGCATGGACACTGAAGAAAAAATGAAAATAGACAATCTGATTTGACTCAGCAGAAGACACCGCTTGCTTGAATCTTTACACGTACTCATTAATATTTCTCTTCTTTCGGTAGCTTTGGTTCAATTCATTAATTGACCACTAGCTCAGAATTCAAAACGGATCATTAAGTTGTAATTTAGTAGTTGATCAAACTTAAGAGACCTTTCGTATTAGAATGTGAGTTTTAGACTGCCAATG